TGCAGCATAGTATTCCATTGTGTGAATATACCACAGCTTCTCTATCCACTCATTTGTTGATGGGTCATTTAATCTTAAGACACAAGATTCCCTTATAACCAATGGTTCTCACAAGGATAAATTCTTAAAGTTCTGATAACCATCTTTTTACTTCATCTTTTGTATAATGGGGGAAAAGAAAATGTAAATTTTAGTAGGTGACATCTCAGATTACCTACCTACAACATTAGGATAGAGTAACACTTCTCTCTCAGAGGTAAGATGGACAAATCAAACATATTATGAGAATGTTTGGCAAAGTTCAACTTGTTAAGTGTAAGTGAGAAATCATCATCTCTACTTCTATTTTCACTTCACTATTCTAGTCGTAGGTCTCACTTGGCTAGAAAACTCTTTTTTTTTTTGCTAGAAAACTCTTAACTGAGAGTTTTATGATACAAATAAGTTTTCCTGAAAGCAGATCCAAAAAGCCCAACCATCTAACTCAGTGACTCAGAGATAACCCTCTGCTGGGTTTTTGAGGCTATAAATTGCACGGGAAGATTATCCCTCATTTCCCTCAGAGCTGCTGGTGGGTTTGAACTACCAGACAGGTGCGGCCCTTAAGTTAACAGCACAGAGCCCTACAGAAAAGGCCACCAGAGCTGCTTAAAAACTCTAAAGGAGCACCACAACAAGATAAAGGTAAACAATCCAACTGAAAAATGGGCACGGGGGAAGAAAAAGAAAAAGGAAACAAAAGTGGGCACAGGATGCAAATAGACACTTCACCAAAGACACTCAGATGGCAAACAAACACATAAAGAAATGTTCCAAATCCCTAGCTCTGAGAGAGATGCAAATCAAAACAACTATGAGATATCATCTCACCCCAGTAAGAATAGCAAAATTTAACAGAACAGCAAACAACAAATGCTGGTGAGGTTGTAGAGAAACTGGAACCCTTATTCACTGCTGGTGGAAGTGTAAAATGGGGCAACCACTATGGAAGGCTGTATGGTGCTTTCTTAAAAAGTTGCAAACAGAAATACCATTTGACCCAGCAATTCCACTACTGGGAGTACACCCTAAAGAAACCATAACTGCCACCCAGGCAGATCTATGCACACCCATGTTTCTTGCGGCTTTGTTCATAATAGCAAAGAGTTGGAAACAACCTAAGTGCCCATCAACAAATGAATGGATAGAGAAGCTGTGGTATATTCACACAATGGAATACTATGCTGCATTGAAAACAAGGAACTAATGAAATATTACACAAAATGGGTGATCCTGGAGGACATTATGCTGAGTGAAATCTCTCAACACAAAAGGACAAATACTGCATATTGCCACTGTTGTAAAACAGGACTGACATCGAGGCTGGGGGAAGACTAAGAAAGATGGGATAAATTATGTATTCTGCATTGAAACAGATGAGGGAGAAAACGGTTTAAAAGGGATGTATGATTAGGTATTACTGTCATGACAGGAGTCCAGAATGAAGGCTGCATAGTGGAGTGGACTTGGGGGAGGGATTGTATAATAATGAAAGAATTTTTCTTTCACTTTTCAAAGAGAAGAGTGAACTGGGTGGGAGGGATGGGTAGGGAGAAAAGTGCAACAATGAATGAATGGAAAACCAAAGTCTCTGTAAATTTTCATGAAAATTAATAATTAACAAAAGCAAAAACCCCAAAGGAAAAAGCAAATGACATATTAACCCATGAGACCATGAAGTGCTTCTGCATCATGAAATCAACAGGAAAAAGGAATCATTCAGATCTAGACAAGGTGTAGGAAGGCAGGTATAAGCCAGAGTCGGTCTTAATTCAGCCTACCTGGGAACAGTGGACGGACTTAAACCATCTGAATGGATGTCTCTGGTTATAGCTAACAAAAATGGTCTCAGAACCAGGGATAAGGGGACTTCTCCATCCCTAGCCTAGGATTCACCATGGCATAGCCCATATCTATACAGAGAAGATATGCAAAGACAGTACAGAACATGCATTTTCTTCCCAGCCATCGGATCTTACCCGGTGTTTTCGGAAACTGAAGTCTAGGAGTGGCATACACTGCTTCAGGAAAGCTTCCACAAAGGTATGTCCATACTGAAAAGAAGAGACATGGGGATGAACTTGGTGATTCTAGCTAATTTGTTTCACTCACAAGGTCCCTGCAGCACAGCATCACCCTGCTTGGGGTTTTATTCTTTTATTTTCTTAAAGGAAAGAAGGGAAGAAACACCAAAAACAAAAAAAACCAAGAGGGGAGAGGCAAAAGATTAATTTGGAGAATGTTACTTAATGCAAAATTTGCAGAATTCCAAACATATAGCCAATGGGCAGGGTGATGCCCACTCATCCTGAGAGAGCGCGCTCAAAGGATGTGGAGAACCTCAATAAAGCACATGGCCAATTCTGCAATTTACCAATCAGATAAATCAACCCTATTCATCTGGATTCTCAAACCAGAACTTGGATGAAGTAAGGAGAGAGAGGTAAGGAGATGATAATAATGGGGCCCCATAAAGAAAGAAACATCAAGAATTAATTCTCTAGTTCTAACCCTGCTGGGTTCCTTCCAGGCTTAAACCAGGCTATTCCCATGGGAGAGAAGTCTATCAGACTATTAGCTCCGCCAGTCAGGAAGCCATCTCCTGTGCTTTAAAGAGGAAATGGTACAGCTGAAAAATGCTAAATCAGAAAGTCAACTTGGAAGAAACAACCACCCACAAATAGATGTAGGAAGGAAAGCATGAACTGGAAAATGTACATAAAATACACACAAACACCCCCTCCCCCCAAATTTGGATTAGGGATGGAGGATAATTTTTTCCTTTCTGGTTCCTTCTCCATGAGCAATCCACGGGAAGAATGAAGATTAAAGAATGTGTAGAAGTATCTCACCTTTAAACATACATGCAGAACAGGACGACTGTCAAACACCTGGAAGAAAGAAGACAAGAAACCAAAACTGACACTGCTCTTTGACCCCGGACTGTTTTACGCAGCACAGAGCACAGGGCTGGGTGTTGCAGTTGCTGTTATGTGACGTCAAGTCAGAACCAACAATAACTGATCTTTCAGCAGATTTTCGGAGACTGTAAATTGTAGGGTAGAAATGTTGAGAATTCTAAAATGGTCATCTCTGCTATTACTAGCTAAAGTTAGTAAGAATGTTAAAGTTGAAGAAAAGGAAGTAGAAGTAGAGGGCAAAGAGAAGTAATAAACTGGAGATATTGAAAAGAAGGTCTAAGATGATCTGAAGTTTGAATGAGTGGATAAGTGAAGTGAAAAGGAGGGGAAACAACATTCTAGCTTGAAGGAACAGCCTAAGGAAATTATGGGAGAGGGTGAGTAGAGGGTGTTACTTGGGAATAAAGAAAGCACATAGGGCTGGAAGTAGGAGACAGTGAGAGCTGCTCAGACCACAGAGCACCCAAAGCAAGATGGAAGAATGTGAGGTCCACTGGAACAGAAGAAAAAAGGCATTATCTTAGAGACAGGAACAGAGAGAACTCTGATAGCTTAGGGGGTAGGTGTTGCCCTGTGAGCCCAAAGGCAAGTAGATAAAATCCACCAGCTCTTTTGAAGGAGAAAGGTAGGCAATGCCTTTGAAAATCTGCTGTAAGGTCAGCTATGAGTTGGTTCTGACTTGGTGATAGACAACAATAACAACAAAAAGGAGACAAGGAGGCACTAAACAAGAGGAAGCAGGAAGAACAAGTCTGTAAGGGAAAGTGGGGAGAGGATTGGTTTCTGTAGTGAGCTAGTGAGATGAGTTAAGGGCCCTCTAAACTCACCTTTATCAAGTTGAGGAGGATACCGAAGTCCCGAACGGCCATGTTCCAGTAGAGGAGCTTTTCCTCATGCACCTAGGGACAGCCAAGTACACAGGTACTTTTGAATCACATACAAAGTTCTTGAATTATGTGGCTATCTACAGATCTAAGTTAATTTACAGATCTTAAAGTAATCTCTAAAGAGATGTGGTAATCAGAACTACAGCATTGTTTTAAGGATTACAAGACTGTCAGGGTTTATCATAAAGAGAGACCTTCTAAAAAGAGATATAGTGACCATGTGAACAACAGATCTGAACTTTTCCCTATTCTGTGCCATCATCATGATCTCTGATATGCTTGCATCCATTGTTATAGCCACCCTGTCAATCCATCTTGTTGGGGATTTTCCTCTGACTTCCTTTCTTCTCTTTCCATCTTTCTCAGCACAATGTCATCTTCCCAAAGACTGTTCCCTTCTGACAATTTGCCCAAGGTATATGAGATGCCATTTCACCATCTTTGCCTTTAAGGAGCACCCTAGTTGGACTTTCTCCAAAATAGATTTGTTTGTTCTCTTGGAAATCAATGGCATATTCAGTACTCTTCTCCAACACCACAATGAAAAGACATTGATTCTTCTCTTGTCATCCTTAGTCACTGTCCAACTTTTGGATGCATAAGAAGTAATTAAAAAGACCATGGGCTGAATTAGGTGCACTTTAGTCTTTAAGCTGACATACTTGCTCTTTGGAATTTTGGGGAGGTCTTTGACAGCTGATTTTTCCAATGCAGTATATCTTGATTTCCTGACTGTTGTTACCAAGGGTGCTGATTGCGGAACCGTTAATAACTTCAATCTTTTCTCCATCTATAATAATGTTGTCTACTGGATCAATGGTGAGGATTCTTTTTTTTTTTTTATGTTATGATGTAATTCATCTTGAAGTTTATAGTTTCTGATTATCTGTAGCAAGTGTTTCAAATTCTCTTTGCTTTCAGCAAGCAAGGTTGTATCATTTGCCTAACGAAAGTTGTTGATGAAGTCTTCCTTCAATCTTGATGCCACATTCCTTTTCATACAGTGTTGTTGTTGTTATGTGCCATCGAGTCGTTTGCGACTTATAGCGACCCGATGTACAACAGCCCTAAACCGTGCTCTAAACTGTGCCAATCTCATTGCCTCCGACAAACCCATCCCGAGTACCCCAGTCACTGAATCAATCCATCTCATAGAGGGTCTTCCCCTCCTGCGCTGTCCCTCCACTCTATCCAGCATGATGTCCCTCTCTAAAGACCTGTCTCTCCTTACAACATGTCCAAAGTATGTCAGACAAAGCCCCAGAATCCTTGCCTCCAAGG